GCGGACGAAGATTCAGCAGATTCGACCGAATTATATATCGGGTGCTTAAATAATACAGAAAAAGCGAAAATTATTATAACCCTTTGCACTCGAAAGTTTCTCAATGGAAATATTCAACGTTTTCTGACGAGATATAGATCATATTGTTTGAAACTGATTCAACGATAATTCATAGATAAATTAAGCAACAGGTGTTTCATTTAAATATTTCACGTAGCACTGCAAACTTCAATTTGAAATATTAAATATTCAACTTCATAGGTTTTCTATCGAATCATATGGTGACCGAGAGTCACCTCTTGAGTGCAAAGGGTTAACGTTCGTCCGCAAGGGGTTGACACACGTTGAATGCCGATCTCATTGAGCGGAATACCGAAAACAGGAAAAACATAATATTAAATCGATTGAATTGCATTACATAATCATCGTTTAATCGAGTAATGAACCGTAGTAATGGACCCCGCAGCATTCAACGTGTTAACACTAGAACTACCCCACAGTGAAATTATTCCTCCGAGATCTTTTCACAGTAATTACAATGTAGAATATCATAGAAATTAAATATCGACTTATACTGTAGTCCGCACGTTAATCAACTTATTTAACTCTAATCATTTTCAACCCTTCGCACTCGAAAGTTTCTCACTTTCACGATTTTCCCAAATGAATTTATCCAGAATTCACACGCGAATCAACCCTTTGCGGACGAACATCAATATTTCCGATGAAATAAATAAATGGCAAACGAATGATTTAATTACCCGAACAGCAAGAGATCAATATGCAATGGTCATTTTTATTATTCAAGCGATCGATATATAATTTAGCTTCATCTGCTGAAGGTTATCTCAAAGAATCTTCGTCCGCAAAGGGTTAAGAAGCGAATTATCGGCGCACGAAGGTCAACGATAAATACCGAAGTTCACAATTTCGAGTGCGAAGGGTTAACTTCGATAATTCTAATACTCAGTCCTCGGACTGCGATCGAGAACATCCAGGAATCTTCCAGAAACTCTCCCCGAGCCACAAACTCGCGGTCCTCAGCGATCATAGATCATCGATCCGTGAATCCAGGCGGAATTTCGATCGTTCGAGAAAGAAGATCGTCGCGTCGCTTCGACGAGCGGTACACCCTTTTATTCGACGAACAGCGGATAAAAAATATGTAGATAAAAGTCTCGCCAGTCTCTGGATATCCCGTTTCCGGTTTACGCACGTGCACACTTGTTACGCGTATCCGAACGTGTGTGTCTTCGTACACATACAAATATATATAATATATATTACTAATATATATAATATAATATTATATACATATGTATTATATAATATATTATATAATATATATAAATATATATTCATCTATATACGCATATGTTCGTACGTGTGTATGCATGTGTATGCTTGTCTTCTTCTGTATACACGTGTACATGTTTGTGTGTGTATATATATATATTATTTGTTTATATTAATGCGATAGGCAACGATAAGTAAAATACAGTTTGAAGATCGGAGATCGTAGTTTCGATTCTGTCGAACACTGGACTCTCTTCGTCGAATAGAAAAGGGGTTGCGGGGACAAAGGGGCGGGAGAAAAATCTCGAATTCCTGAACAATGTCCGGTTCCCCGTCCCGTCGCGAATAAAACGCCATCCTCTCACCGACCCGTCGCGGGAATTCGTTGTCAACGTTCGCTACGTTCGACGGAAGTCTACTGTTTCGCAATTTCTTCTGCGAAGTCGTTCCCTTTATCACGAACGGCGAAATTTCATTCTTAACACACTGCGTACCGGCTAATTTTCAGGAAACCGAATTGTGATGGCAATTTTCACAGAGGTCAACTTATATCGCTATACATAGAAAAACTCAGATATATTGTTATGTAATATATTTTAAATTAATCAATTGGAATTAAGTTTTATATTTCTTCAATGCCGTGGTAATCAACGAAGTTGCACAGCTAAGTGTCTATATAAAAACGAGATTTCTTACCGGTACGCAATGTGTTTGATAATAACTCGCCTTCGATTCTTCCGCGTTCAGACCAAGACGAATCGGATCGAAAATGTATTCCATCGAATCTCACTCTTCGTTATCCGCGAAAGGAAGATTCGAGTGTTTGTTCGCCGAAACCGATCTGATTCGCATCGATCCACTTGCAGTTTCACGCTAGAACTACCGAATGCTTCTTATCGCGATCCGGAGGATACAGCCGGTTTTCTGACAGATCGAAGATGAATCGAAGCTTCAATTGCATTTTCGATTCGGAACCGATCGGATCGGGTAGTTCTAGCGTCGATCTTCGAAATGTCGAATCTTCGAAAGAGGAGAAGAAAGGGCGGGAACACACGAGGTCACGATACTCCGAGGCACCCTTTCTTACGAGTAAATGTACATGTGTATGTATACGTTCTCTTTATATATAATGTAAAAAGCCGTTTTCGTTTCGAAGGTCACGCCCGAGGTTTCGCGATCGACCGACGGGCGGCGAGGTGAAAGAAAAGGATTTTCCAGGTGGTAGCAACGCTTCAGCGCTTCGAGGCAGCCACTTCCGTGTTCTTTCCAGCGACAGCGGCTGGAGATCGATCGTGATCGGACTTCCGATGCGGTGCGATGATCGAAACGGAATAAAAGCTTCCGATAGCCGGAAGATACACATTTCGCTTCTCAACGAGACAGAAAGACGACGCTTCGAGGACGAACGTGGGATTTCCTCGAACAACCGTAGAAGTTAACACGTTGAGCGCCATGTCAGTCACTGGTGACGCTTCTGAATGACTAAAAAACAATCGTAACGTACAAGACCGATGTGAAATAGAATGTTTAACACTTCGACTACCACGTCACCCGAATTCGACATTATTTTTTACAGAAAGGTGGACATTAATTTCTTTCATGACGCATCGAACGAATTTTGTTGGATATATGAGATACAAGAAAGATAGTGAAGCAGTTATTAAGAATCTTGATTTCTCAGTTTCTGGTTAATGGAGGAAACTGTTTCGAGTACATAGGAGTTTTGATGAATGTTTACGTGGCAGTCGAAGTGTTAATGAGGCAACTAAGTTGATAGTGTAACGCAAACGTTGCAACGCCAGACAGTTCATAATTATTCCTACTTTTCTCTGCTAAAAGACAAACTATGGGAAAACGCTTAAGATTTTCGTGGCGCTTAACGTGTTGATTAACCCGTTCGAGATCGTGCATCCATCTGCCTCGAGGTCTCTGATCGACAATCAAATATCCAGAATTCTTCGAGATTTATTTGCTTAGACAACGTGAAAGCAATTCGCGGCGTTCGATTTCTCACCCTCCATACACGTTCTCTCTTCGGAATACTCGACACGATCCGAACGCGGGGGTTTCCCTCGGGAAATTCGTCTCGAATGGATCGAAAGCAACGATAATAACTACAGAACCGTTCGGGACTGCCGGAAGTGACGTGGAAACAAGGGGGATAAAGCCGAGCGAGCGCTCGGGGTTCATAGAACAGAAAAGAATGAAGAAGACGCACGTGCGCTAATCGTCGACTTTATATGAAGAAGTTGATTTCGATACAATAGCGAATCGGAGCTGCTGTCGATGTACTTGTCGTGTTCGTTTCTCTGATCGGTTGGGTGGAGGAGTTCATTGGTTAATCGAATGTGATTGATTGTTGTGTTACACGCGCGGAGTCTTGCTTCGTTCTGTTCCGCGTGGAGGAACACCTTCTCTCTCTCTCTCCCTCTCTTTCTCTTCTCTTCTCGTTCTCCCTTCTTTCTCGTTCCGATTCTCTATTCGCGTCTCGCTTCGACCCGATTCCCGCGATCCAATTACCGATTGTCTGACTCCCTCGTCGAACGTACCGCGCGCGAACGATCAACCCGTTAACTTGTTCACCGCTTCATCCCTTCTCCTCGTTCCCATCGTTCGTTGCGGCTTCTTTCTTGAAATTCGATTTTTATTTTCGCTACCGTTTGTCTTTTTCTCTTTTCTTTTAATTCGTCTTTGGATCGCGTTCCGCTTTCCCACGCATTCGAACAGCAACCCGGTCAACAAGTTAAGACTCGACGCGCCTCCGAAAGGTTCCCCGGCGATTCGTGTTAAGGCAGTTAGCATGCGTTTTCTTTCTTTCATTTTTTTTGTGTGAGCGTGTATATGTGTTTCGACCTTTCATTCGTTTAAACGGTTCCTTTTCTTGCTCTCTTTTGCGTCGTTT